TCAGCACGGGTGGAACACGAACAAGGGGACACAGGTGGAAACTTAGTACCCAAATGAGCCACAGAGACATTAGAAAGATTTATTTCAGTGTCAGAGTAGTTAATAAATGGAATGCATTAGGCAGTGATGTGGTGGAGGCTGACTTCATACACAGTTTCAAATATAAATATGATAGAGCCCAGTAGGCTCGGGAATCTGTACGCCAGTTGATTGACAGTTGAGAGGCGGGACCAAAGAGATAAAGCTCAACCCCCGCAAGCACAAATAGGTGAGTATAAATAGGCGAGTATAACTAGGTTAGTATACACACACACACACACACACACACACACACACACACACACACACACACACACACACGTGTGTGGGGGGGGGGGCGGGAAGAGGTGGTGGTGGTGTAGCTCTGCTGGTAAGAAAAGGCTGGGATTTTGAGGAGATGGTTATTCAGGGCTGTGAAGGTTTCAGTGACTACATAACAGGTACCATAACAACAGTGTGCTGACTTGATATCTGGTGGAAGTAATAGTAATCTAACCAAAAAAAAAAAAACACCTCCAGAGGATAATCTTGTAATGGTGAGGGGACTCGTGTACGACTCACTGCAGCTGATGAAAGTTGCCTTGGCCTCCCACTCTTGCCCTTCTCGGGATGTTGTATAAGCTAAGGTACACACCCGTCGGAATCTTGCTCACGTCATCAAAATTTCCGCACGAGGGCTGCACTTGGTGGATGATTGGGTGTCCAAGCTGGGGTGAAAGGGGAAAAAAAGGTCTTTGCCCTAGTGGGGGAGAATGTACGAGGCAGTAGGTCTCCCCTGTTAAAAAGGGGGATCACCACTGGAGACGACGCACCCCTTCCTGCACTCGACCACCTTAGCTGTCCTGGTAGGTGGTATCCCTTGTCTCCGAGACATAGAATTTTGAAATTAATGCTGTATGGATACCAAACTGACTTCTACACATACTCGAGAGGTGGGCGACCAGACCCCCGAGTCGGCCGGTGATGTAAGATCGCGCTCCGTAGTCAATGTTGGGCCAGACAAGGCTCCTTTCTTGACTCTCCCAAGTGACGTTTTCCGTTCCCCTCCCACTTCCGTGTCAGGGTTGAACGCCATGCCGCCAGTGGTGACCACCTCGTCACCTGGAGTGGCTCCATCTCTCGTTTTGAACGCTGCACCTTTTAAGTGCACCAGAATGCTCCTTATTCTGGGGAAGCTCAGCGCAATAACGACTGCACACATACACAAATACTTTCTATCTACTCGTTTATGTTCCAGGATTTGTTTTAGTCCTGCCAAGTGGACTAAGTATTTTGATCTTTCTCACATTGATCATACACGTCCTGATGATTTATACATCCATAAACACCTGGTTCATTCAGTGACACCCATGACACTTTTAAGCCCACCCGTGTTGGCACACGTGTAGTTGCAGCCGGTTATCAGTAGGCAGCAGACCACCTGGCATTGTTGACCTGCACTGGTTAGACCCCAGTTCCGGTCTCCAAAAATGGCCGGTTAAATGCCAGCATTACACAGTCATTCTCCCGCAACATGTCGCGACTGGAGATAGAGAGCTGAAATACTGCCACGAGGATATTAAGCCCAAGACCATTCCATCCTTCAGATGGATACGTTCACTTGACCACCTCGTGGTGGTCGTCTTCGTCAACCTCCTCAGGTAGTCAAATTCAATACTGATGGTAGGTCCCTTTTATCTTCCATTATTCTTGAAGGTACCAGATGGATGCTACGTTCAGGGATACATCCCCACTCCTCATCTTTGCAGTAGTTGTTGGAAATTTGGACATGGTCTCTTGCGATGCACTAGCAAAGTGTCCTTGTGCCCCCTTGAGTGGAGTCCCGGGTCATCCTAAGACGGTGCTCTTCTCCCCAGCCTTGCTGCATCAGTTGCGGTGAAGCATTCTACCACCCTGCCTCTCCTGCTCATGCATATGCTTTATATTTGAGGAAGCCATTCGCAGTTTATAATAATGCGATCGGATTTCTATTCCTGGGACACGTCACTCGGATCAACATCTTATTTTTTCTCCGACATGACTTATGCCCGTGTGTTGCATAACACTTCTCCGCCCAGCCCTTCACCCCTTTCTCAATTCGGCAACCGTTGTCAGGCCTCAGACCCCAATACCTCCACCAGCTCCCCTCTGTCCTGTCGTCTCCATTCTGAACCTGAGTATTGCTCATGATTCACCGCCAGGTGTTTCCACCCTCCGCTCCCAGTCTTCAGTTATTCAGTTCGGTGTCACCTCTCCGCCAGGCCGATGTCCATCCTCATCCCGGTCGTCTTCGTGTTGTCCACTCTTCTTCTTGAGAATAGGCGCAGTTTGCATGAAGGGGTAACCCTCCCGATGACTGCACCAGGACAGATGTAAGGAGACGCGTTGACGGTCAGGAGGAGAAGAAAGTCAAAAGCGGTAGATGTGATGGGCCGTAGAGAGAGGAGTGGCGACGAAAACAGAGGCGAACGTTAGAGGGAGACTCCCCGCACCGGGGGGCGGGGCGTCGTGATCACGGTGGCAGCTGATCCATGCACGGCTTAGCAGCGTGCGCAAGACGGGAACTAATACTTCTCCGGAAACTTGTGTATCGGAAAGCGCAAGCAGTACGCTTCCCATATCACCCGCAGGTCAGCGGGCAGCCGGCCACCAGGCGGCGCCCTCGGCTGAGACATCCTATCCGGCACCCTATACACAAACTCCTTCACCCGCGACACCCAGACAGTGGACGAGCACCACGGGATCGGAAGCACCCGGGCATCCCGATAAGGGCCCAACTCCGGAACCTCACAGGGCACGACCCCAGCAGACGGGACTAGGCAATCCCCAGACTGGAGCAAGGAAGGAGGGGATACAGCAGGGGACGCAGGCGCGGCACCGACCCCACCACCGGGCACAGGAGCCGAGGCCCTCTGGCGCACATCTTTCCGCAACATCACGACGAGGTCCCGATCAGCAGGGACAACCCCCCACTGCGGAGATCCAACAGCAGGAGACGCAGGAGGAGAGGCACAGGTAGCAACGTCGGAGCCCCTCACAGCACCACCATTCTCGGCGGGGGACGCCAGATTACCATACTCCCCCACCTCCTCCCAAGGCACACCACGAAGGGGAGAGACACTCCGAGCCCGCCGTGAACGCTTCGAGACAGGCCTCACCACACCACGCCCAGCAGGCCCCGCCGCAGGCACGGCCACCATCTTTACATCCACACAGGCCACACCCGCACCGTCCGAAGAGTCCACAGAGGCCACATCACCCACACTGTCCACATCATCCAGGGAAACAGCCTCAGAACACCGACGCGCACGCTTCTGCAAAGGGATGGAAAGAGCAGAACTACACTCACCAACACACACAGGCACGGCAGGCACCTCCCCCTGCCGAAGCACCCCCTCTAAAACAGCAGAACCCGCGTTCCCGGGAGCCGGTATCACATCCACAGGCGGGGGCGGGACATGGACCTCCACCGGGACATCCTGCACTACTCGCAGCTCAGGCGACGGCCCGACACCCACACACACCGGCTCAACAACCCCAGGGGCCATAGCAGTCACCTGACGTGTCGCCGTAGAACTCGCCCCAACAGGCGGAGCAGCAGACAGGCAATCAGGCGCCTCAGGCACAGCACCTACTCCATCCTCAGAACCGTCCGAACGTAACAAGGGCGGGAAATCCCCTGCACGAAAAACATGCACCCTACCAGTTGCACCCACGTCGCACGCCGCAGCCAGGTGACCCTCGTGACCACACCGATAACAGGTGCGCGGTTGACCCCGGTACAAGCAGCGGAGCGTGTAACCCAACACGGACATCGACGACGGTACACTACACTTCAGCGACATCGTCAGGGTGCGGGAGCCGTCAAGCATACCAACACAGTGCCCGGCAACGACCTTGTTCCAACGAACACTTAACACGGTCCCAAATCGCTCAAAACAGGAGGTTAAAAAGTCGTCCTGAAATTCGAAGGGGGCACCATGCACCGCCACAGACGTCAAGGTGACACTAAGATTCACCACCTTAACTGAGCCAGCTGAATCAGGGAGTGGGTAAACACGCCCCTCACAACGCTCGAGAAACACCTGAAAGGCAGCCTGGAGGCGGAACTTGACCACAGCACGGTTGCCCTGAAGCAGCTGGACGCCCACCAGGTCCGACAGCTGCACATGAAGCACGTCCACCAGGGCGACACCAACCAATGGATGGTCCACCGGCACCGTAAACGCTAGACCAGCCGACAATGTCCTCTGCACTGGAGGGCGAGATGACCCCATGGCGAAGGCAAACGTCACCCTGTCAGTGGCAAACCACCACCAGCAGGGCAAACAAGCAATCACCCAACGTAAACACTAGCCAGTGCGGAGAGACCTCAGGAGCGTCCGACCTGGCCGGTGGTCACCACGCAACTCCAGTTGTCCACTCTCGTTATTTCCTGCTGAGACTCTGGAGGCTGTCACACAGTACATTACTACTGGGACGCCTGTATCTCACAGTAACCTGGGCTTCCTCTCCATCTTCCTACCCACCTGGTAAGAAAGTGTTGGATCTTCCCCGGCTCTGTCCCTGCATCTTCTCTGACGTCACCCTCCCCATCTTACTTCTCCTGTGGCGATGTCACGTGATGCCGGTACAACACTGGTGACGTCACGTGATGCCGGTACAACACTGGTGACGTCACGTGATGCCGGTACAACACTGGTGACGTCACGTGATGCCGGTACAACACTGGTGACGTCACGTGATGCCGGTACAACACTGGTGACGTCACGTGATGCCGGTACAGCGCTGGTGACGTCACGTGATGCCGGTACAACACTGGTGACGTCACGTGATGCCTGTACAACACTGGTGACGCCCAGCGACCAACAAGAGTAGCAGTAGGAGTATTGTGTTGTGTGTATCATTACTTAGTGTAGTAATGTGTTGTGTTCCGTAAATTACGTCACAGTAAATATATGTTTTCTCCACTTGTGTGACAGGTGTGGTAGACAGGAGTGTGGAGTTGCTGTCACCTCAACAGGATAATCTCGCCGTAGACAAAGTTTTTGAACTTGCAGCTGAATTCGAGGTTAAGGAGGACGATCATCCTCAAGTGGATGACTATGCATATTGCAGTAGAACACATCGGCACAGGAAAAGGGATACAGGTGAGACCATGAAGTATGATTGGTATAAATACTATTTGATACATCAGTAAAATATATTTATTTCAATAATTTTGGATTCAATGTATCAATCAATTAAAAATATTAAAAACTCAGATTTTTTTATATAATATGAATTAAAAAGTATTTTAAGTAAAGCAATAAAGTACAAAACTGTTTGTTATAATGAAAGCTTGTGTGATCTTGGTATTCATACGAGATTATCACAAACATGTATTTTGAGCCATTTTATCAATTATATTTTACGAACTATATGAAAATTAGGATTCACTGGCGACTATAATATCTCGTAGTTTGTCGAAGTAGACCTATCACATGTGTGGTTTGTGTCACATGTGTGGTTTGTGTCACATGTGTGGTTTGTGTCACATGTGTGGTTTGTGTCACATGTGTGGTTTGTGTCCCATGTGTGGTTTGTGTCCCATGTGTGGTTTGTGTCACATGTGTGGTTTGTGTCACATGTGTGGTTTGTGTCACATGTGTGGTTTGTGTCACATGTGTGGTTTGTGTCACATGTGTGGTTTGTGTCACATGTGTGGTTTGTGTCACATGTGTGGTTTGTGTCACATGTGTGGTTTGTGTCCCATGTGTGGTTTGTGTCACATGTGTGGTTTGTGTCCCATGTGTGGTTTGTGTCCCATGTGTGGTTTGTGTCACATGTGTGGTTTGTGTCACATGTGTGGTTTGTGTCACATGTGTGGTTTGTGTCCCATGTGTGGTTTGTGTCACATGTGTGGTTTGTGTCCCATGTGTGGTTTGTGTCACATGTGTGGTTTGTGTCCCATGTGTGGTTTGTGTCACATGTGTGGTTTGTGTCACATGTGTGGTTTGTGTCACATGTGTGGTTTGTGTCCCATGTGTGGTTTGTGTCACATGTGTGGTTTGTGTCCCATGTGTGGTTTGTGTCACATGTGTGGTTTGTGTCCCATGTGTGGTTTGTGTCACATGTGTGGTTTGTGTCACATGTGTGGTTTGTGTCACATGTGTGGTTTGTGACCCATGAGCCTCTCCTAGAGTAAACCCAGTGTATGCCTCTCCAAGAACACGTCCAGTATATTCACCTAGTTGTACTCACCTAGTTGTGCTTGCGGGGGTTGAGCTCTGGCTCTTTGGTCCCGCCTCTCAACTGTCAATCAACTGGTGTACAGATTCCTGAGCTTACTGGGCTCTATCATATCTACATTTGAAACTGTGTATGGAGTCAGCCTCCACCACATCACTGCCTAATAATAAAATTCTTTCTAATGTCTCTGTGGCTTATTTGGGTACTTAGCTTCCACCTGTGCCCCCATGTGCGTGTGCCACCCGTGTTAAATAATCCAGCCTTGTTTACCCTGTCAATTCCCCGGAGAATTTTGTATGTGGTGATCATGTCTTCCCTAGATCTTCTGTCTTCCAGCGACGTGAGATGCAGTTCACGTAATCTGTCCTCATAACTCGTGCCTCTTAGTTCTGGGACTAGCCTAGTGGTATACCTTTAAACTATTTCCAGCTTCGTCTTATGCTTGACTACATACGGGCTCTATGCTGGGGTTGCATACTCCAGGATTGGCCTTACATATGTGGTATATAAGGTTCTGAAGGACGCCTGACACAGGTTTCTGAAAGCAGTTCTGATGTTAGCCAGCCTCGCATAGACCGCTGATGTTATTCTTTTGATGTGGTCTTCGGGAGACAGGTTTGGCGTGATATCAACTCCTACATTTTTCTCTCTGTCCGTTTCGTGAAGGATTTCATCTTCCACTCGGTATACAGTGACTGGCCTCCTAGTTCCTCCTCCTAGTTTCATTACCTTACATTTACTTGGGTTGAGCTTTAGTAGCCATTTGTCGGACCGTTCCTTCAGTTTGTCTAGGTCATCTTGTAGCCTCATACTATCCTCCTCTGTCTTGATCCTCCTCATAACTTTGCATCATCAGCAAACATCAAGAGGAAGGAGTCAATTCCTTCTGGGAGATCATTTACGTATATCAGAAACAGTAGAGGTCCAAGGACTGATCCCTGTGGGACTCCACTGGTGATTCCCCTCCACTCCGAGACCTTACCTATCTTATCCAGTGGAGTACCTTCCCTTTCACTCTCGCCTGCATCTCCAGTTTGTGCACTAGTCTCTTATGTGGAACTGTGTCAAAAGCTTTCTGTCAGTCCAGGAATATGCAGTTTCCCCAGCCCTCTCTCTCTCTTGCCTGATTTTTGTTGCTTGGTCATAGAACTCAATTAATCCTGTTAGGCATGATTTGCCATCTCTGAACCCATGCTGATGTTGTGTTACAAAGGTCTTCTGCTCCAGATGTTCCACTTGCTTTTTTCGCATAATCTTCTCCATCATCTTGCATGGAATGCAAGTTAGGGACACTGGCCTGTAGTTCAGTGCCTCCTGCCTATCTCCCTTCTTGTATATAGGGACTACATTGGCTGTCTTCCAAATTTTTGGCAGTTCACCTGTTACCAGTGACTAGTTGTACACCATGGAGAGTGGTAGGCACAGAGCATCTGCTCCTTCCTTAAGGATCCATGGTGAGATTCCATCCGGGCCTATAGCCTTTGTCACGTCCAAATCTAGCAGATGCTTCCTCACCTCCCCACTGGTAATCACATGTGTCCGGTTTGATGTTCCCTCTCTTATCTTTGGGACTTCTCCTTGCTCTAAGGTGAAGACTTCCTGTAATTTCTTATTGAGTTCCTCGCACACTTCCTTGTCGTTTGTAGTGAATCTTTCTGCTCCTATCCTCAGTTTCATTACCTGTTCCTTCACTGTTGTTTTCCTCCTGATGTGGCTATGCAGCAGTTTGGGTTGAGTCTTTGCCTTGCTCGTCTTGTCATTTTCATATTGCCTCTCTACCTCTCTTTTCACCCTGACGTATTCATTTCTGGCGCTCTGGTAACTTTCTCTGCTCTCTAGTGTTCTGTTGTTTCTATAGTTTTTACGCCCTTTTACGTAGTTGCTTTGCTAGCTTACAACTCTGATTAAAACATGGGTTTCTCATCACCATTTCATTTTTTTCCTTTTGGACTGGGACGAACTAGCCGGCTGCCTCGTTACACTTCTGTGTGATGTAGTCCATCATGTCTTGAACCGTTTTTCCTCTGAGCTCTGTTTTCGAAGCTAATTCAGTTAGGAATTTTCTCATCTCCTAATAGTTTCCCTTCCGAAATGCCGGTCTCTTGCTTTCTGGTCCCTTCCTTGAGTACATTAACCCTTCTTCGCCCTCAAATACTACTTAAACAACAGTACACTGTGATCACTCATACCCACGGGGGGGGGGGGGGGGCTTCAAGACCGATTTCTCTTATGTCCGAATCGTTCAGAGTGAACACTAGGTCGTGTCTTGCTGGTTCATCATTGCCTCTCATTCTCGCGGGACCCTTGAAATGCTGACTTAAAAAGTTTCTAATCGTCACCTCCAGCAGTTTCGCTCTTCCTGTTTCCTCACCTCTATGTGGTTCCCTGTTTTCCCAGTCTATCCTTCCATGATGAGCAGATGGGATCGATTTCTACAGGCAGCAGAGGCTGCTCTCTCAATGATAATGTTAACTGCCTTGTTGTTTCTGTCATACTCTTGCCTGGGTCTTCTGTCATTTGGTGGAGGGTTATATATCACTGCTGCTACTACTCTTGGTCCTCCCATCGTCATGGTGCTTGTTATGAAGTCTCCTGAACTCTTAGCAGCCCAGAATAACCAACTCCTCGAAACTCCATTCCTTTCTCATCAGTAGAGCCACTCCGCCTCCTCCCCTTCCTTCCCTCTCTTTCCTTATTACAGTGTAGTCCTGGGGAAACACCCCAGAACACCCCAGAATCGTTATGATTCCTGAGAGTTTCCTTTCTGTGAGTCCAGTTACATCTGGGTTTACTTCTTGTGTTCTTTCCCTACGTCCACTGGCCTTGTTTGTAATCCCATCTATGTTCGAGTACATGACTTTGAAGCTGACTCTCTTCTGTCCATTCTCAGTTTCTGTTGATTCCACTGGAGTTGGGGGGCAAGAGATGTCTGGGATGGGTGAGCCTAGGATGGAGGACCTGGGGGGTGGGTCTGAGGTGTGAGGGGGCTGGGAGGATCTGGAACAGGGGGTTTAGGGGGGTCTGACGTGATGCGGCTGAGGGGGTCCGGGGTTGGCATGCCTCCCTCATGCCTCTCCTAGAGCACATCCAGGGTTTGCCTCCCTCATACCTCTCCAAGAGTATATCCAGTTTTTTTTTTTATTATTATTATATTCTACCACAGACGTGGCCACACATTTACAATGCTAACCAGTATATATACATTTTCTTCTGTCTTCCATGGACAGGGTTAGAGAAGTGTTAAACATATAGTTCAAGGGTTTATTGAACACTCAACCACAGAAGGTGATTCGATGCTTTTAAAATGCTAAGCTAACCTACATACGTAAATACATAAATACACAGATTTACGTATTCCCTACATAAGGTGTTCGATGTGTCTTTTACATAGTGTCATTAATGTACATTTACGAAGGTGAAATGTAATTCTGATCAGCTTCCATATATACTTTATACCCATACATATACCTACACACACATATACATACATATATACACACACATGCATTCACATACGTTTGTCTCATGTACTCTGACAGGATGAGATAGCTGATAAAGAAACTAGTGTGCAATTAAGCACTTAATCACTGAAGGTGATTAAGGTGCTTTTACAAGCTCAGGTTATATAGTTACATCACATACATACATTGTATAATTGATATATTACATGGTCAATCTTGGATACAAGTCCAATATATCATCAAGTGTTCCAGTACTCATATAGTAATTACAGAGTTCAGCATACCTTAGCCCAGGAGGGCGAAAGTCAGTCAGTATGGGACATTCTACAATATAATGTTCAAGAGAGTTCATGTTTTCTCTTTCACAAAGTTGACACATTGTGTACTCGACATTTGGGTTTTGAGAAAGCTGCCAGATACGTCTATATCCCAGGCGTATTCTGGCCACTATAACATCA